AAGTCGACTATCAGTCGTGTAACCTTAGTCAGTTGATTGTGATGTGACCTAACATTAGGTATGTATTCAATGTTCAATATTTAGTGACAGACTATCCCAGGACGATAAAGCTGAAACTATTATATATTGGAATAAATGGACAAAATTGAAAATAATGAACCTTGTTGGACTATCAGTTTCTTTCACCATTAGCTAGTAGATTTTCAGATCACACTGGAATGGTTGAGATCATTAGTAGTCAGAACATTACCGATTGATTTTGTTTCAAGTCAGTTGCTGGGCAATTAAATATGAAATTTTATCGAATCGTTTTTTGATTATCTATTAACTGTCTGAATTGATAACCAAATAGACGACTCAATCTCAAATCCTTTTAATTGATCTGGTTAGACTTATTCAATTCGCAAAGTATAGCTCGTCAATGGTTTACAGGGCAATAGAGAGATTTTGATTCTATTGATTTTCGACAGACACAATTAGACTCAAATCGAATTCAATTAGATTGACAATTTGATTATCAGGGGCGAGTCCTCTGCTCCACACAAACCAGGTAAATTAATGTCATGAAGATGGTTGGTATAATCACAACTATTGTTATAATAAATGGGTATAAAGGCTTATCTGGAACTGGCGTAAACGTTAGATGGTCTCAACAATCAAGACCAACAAAGAGAACAAAGAGACAAACAATTTTGATCTTATCAATTTTTCTAATGTGTGGTCGCATTTAATTTATGCAATGCAATCATTTCAACATTTGATCACAACCAGGTAAAGATCAAAATAATCATCTGCCTGTGCGCGGTTAACACATTTGCGCTAGTCCAATCGGTATAAGAAGAAACTTTAACTTCATTATATTCAGTTTGCAATCTAACTTTTGAAATACAATCATCAAATCGATTCAATTCTTTTTGTTTCCCTGTTCACAATTGTGTACCATTTTTCCTACTTGATCTGTGTAAACCATTTCAATCATGTCCAAAGATTGTTATAAAATCCTAGGAATTTCCAAGGATGCAAGTGTTGGTGAAATCAAGAAGGCGTACAGAGAACTGGCTCTCAAATATCACCCTGACAAGAACCAAGATGCTAATGCAAAAGTCAAATTCCAACAAGTATCCTGTGCTTACAAAACTCTGATGGACGAAAAATCGCGTGATATGCCACAAGCTATGCAATCTGAATTTGATTTGGATTCAGACATCAAGGATTTCCTCATATTGGCTGGAATCACCCTTGCAGGAGCGTCGGCACTTTATTATGTGATGCGAGGTCAATCTGATGGCTATGAAGATGAAACCGAAAAGGATAAGGATCATCAAAGTGGCAAAGAATAAATATGATGTTCCAAAATATAATGTACTGTTGCTCATAATTTGAAATGAACAGGCAACATTGAATTGATGAATAAAATTGATTGAAAATTATATCAAAAATGCCAACATGTTACTGCAGAGGTTAACAAAGACCTCTGGCGTTTGGTTTTCAATGGGTGCATTCACACTCAACTGAATAAACTAGAAATAGTTTGAAAATCAAATTTAATTAAAATTAACTATATCTTCGGCTCGCAACCTTACCTTACAGTGTTTTGAACTGACCCTTGGTATCGTCAAATCATTTGACTCAAATGATGAAAGGAGTCGACAATTTCAGACCGGCAATAATTTGATAATTATTGCCCCACTTGCTGGTTGTAATACTTGTGTGTAATACTTCAATGGTCAAATTACAATAAAAATAAGTTTCCTAATATTTTGGATCATGGTAAATAAGTTAACATAATAAAGTGAAACTGAAATGAGATAGAGATTTAAACATTCTATGATTTTGAAAGAAATTTCTGATTCAATTAGCTCCTCAACTAGATGCAAATAGCGATAAATTTAATCTGAATTATAAATACAGTCTGAAAACAGGAAAACATTAGAGATGATATTTAATGTTCATTTTTTTCGATGAATCTAAATCCATGATCATGTTCCTCAATCATTTCAACCCTCTGATTAAAACCATATAAAAATCAAAACAATCATGAGGTTAGGTTTACATGACTGCCGCTAGTCATCCAATCGATAACAAAAGGAGCATGAACATTCCAATATCATCATGAACATCGTAATATTTTGTTCAAAATTTATTCTTTAAATTTAAGCATCAAATTGATTAAATCATTTGTTTGTTTTCCTTTGATAATTGTGTCAAATTTTTGTTGTCTGTAAATCATTTCAATAATGTCCAAAGATTGCTACAAAACTCTAGGAATATCCAAGGATGCAAGTGTTAGTGAAATTACAAAGGCTTACAGAGAGTTGGCTCTCAAATATCACCCTGATAAGAACAACGAACCTGGTGCTGAGGCCAAATTTAAAGAGATATCGATTGCTTACAAAGCTCTAATGGACGACAAAGCTCGTGAGATGCCACACGCTATGCAAACTGAAGATGTTTTCGAGCCAGATATAACTGCATTGCTTATTGCTGCTGGAATCACAATTGCAGCTGGATCTGCATTTTTTGTAGCCAATAAATATTTCCATCGTAATGATGATAAAAACGAAAAGAAGGGTCACCAAAAATGAATAAATGTTCTGAAATATAATGTACTCTTGCTTGTAATTCAACATGAATCTGTAATATTTATTTCTCGAATAAAAAAAATTGATTTAGAAATTTTCTGTATCCTATTATCTCTCAGTTTCTCGGACAAATCCTTTTTGGGTAAGATTTCCTAGTCTGTAACATCTTTATTTTAGCCATGAATGTTAAAAGAGGTTTGAGGAAATATATGATTACTGGTTACCAAAACATTTGTTCATAAATTGATCTACAGTAGAGCACCAGTAAATTATTCAACA